GCTTCTCGTGTGTGTGTGTGTGTGTGTGTTTGTGTGTGTGTGTGTGTGTTTGCCCTTTCCAAAACATTCGGTTGTCTGTACTCGTCCGGACAGACATATTCCGATGGTCGGTTGGACCACCTGCCGGCTCGAAGCAAGGGTCAATTCGAGGGAATGTGGGCTCTCCTCGTGTGGCGTGTGTGCCTCCACACCTCACACGGCACAAACACTCCCCTCAGGCCTCCCGGCCGGATTTGACCCTGTTGCACAATCTCGAACACACGTGCCCGAGCCGACAAGTCGACAAGCCGACAAGCACACACCAACACGCAAAAGGACGCCTAAAACACGTCCGGCCAGTTGGCACACCCAACACACATACACACATACACACACAGATAAATGCCGACACACGTCCAGTACCCCTTCTATGGGGAAATGGTGGCACAGACGTTTGGATTGTGGCGATGCGAAGGAAGGCCATCGCGTTTTGGTGTTTTTGGCCACTTTGCAACCGCTTCTCCGCACCCTTTGGCCGGTTTCCACGAGACACAACCCACATGCGCCTCGATTGACAGACAGTCGACAGCAGGTGTGTTGGTCCATTCTTGCCTCTTCGCCTCTTTTGTCCGTCTGCCTTGATCCCCAACCCATCCACCCACCCACAACAACACAAGTTGTCTGGTGATCGAGTTGGCGAATCCCACTCGGGGGCGCCTAGGTCTGCTTCCCATTAGTCGTCTGTCCGTCTGTTCGGTTCTTTGTTTGTCTGCTTGTCCGACCGTTTGAAGGTCCATGTGTCGGTACATCCAACTGTCTGTATATCTCATTGTTTGCTTGTTTGGTGGTCTCGTTGTCCGCCTGCCTCGTTGTTTGGCTGTTTGGCCGTCTGGTTGTTCGACCAACTTATTAGCTTATTGTCCGAGTGTCTGTGTGTATGTTTGGTTGTCTGTACGTCCGGTTTTTCAGCTGCACAAATATCCAAATGGCTGCGTATCCAAGTGACACAGTGTCCGACTGTTGTGCTGTTTTGCCGTCTGGTTGTCTGGTTGTCCGATCACCAAAGTCTCCCAATATTCGGTTGTCTGTATTTACAATTGTTTGGTTGTCTGTACGTCCGGTTGTTTAGCTGCACAAATATCCGAATGGCTGCGTATCCAAGTGACACAGTGTCCGACTGTTTTGCCGTCTGATTGTATGGTTGTCCGATTACCAAAGTCTCCCAATATTCGGTTGCTCGGTTGTCCGGCCGTGGTTACTAACACCCACTCCGAAGAGGCCGAAGGTGCCAGAATCGGAGGATTTTTGTGAGAGTGCAAAAGTGTCTTAAAATCAAGTCCAGATGGCAAATGGACTGTCTTGAAGAGGCGGACAGTGTCTTGTCGGATTTATATTTTTTGTCGTCGTCACAACCGGTCATTACTGGCCACTCGCCAACAGACTACTTACAAAGCATTTTCAGTAGTTCGTGTCATTTCAACTCTTCTCCATCATGCGCCCTGTTGACAAGGGAACGCGATAGCCGGCACAATTGTACGTCTTGTCGGGCAGTCCATTTATAGTCGTCTATTCGTATTACTTTCAAGTCGGGCTGGCTACAGTTTGCCCTTGTTGCAATTTCTCAGCCAACGAGGTTGAACTGGCGACAATGATTGTCTGTTCGGTTGGAGATAATGGCTCTCTCTCTCTCTATCTTCCTCTTATGTCCTCTATTTGCTAAATGCTTTTGGTATATTGCAAAAGCGCGAACTGATGATTCGCCTGTTTATGTGGAAAAGCAAACTCTTCTTATCTCAACAAATCATCACTGCCCACTTGTACTCTCCATTTGCACAATTTGGCGCAGATAGAAAAGGGTTGGCTTGGTTTGGTTTGGTTGCTGCCGGCATCGGGTGTAGGCAGTTGCTTAATGCGTCGAAATGATGACTTTTGGGCAAAAAATGACCTGCGTCTGTGCATACACAACCAGACAACTGGCAAACTAACAAATAGACAAACATGTCGACAGTTGGTGCTACATATTCATCGGCAACCACGCGTTTGGATACGTAGAAAAACTGGATTTCGAAGAGTCCCTTAATAGGTTGATGCTGTCAAGCCAACCCCCCCACCCCACGCCAATCCTCGGTGGAACCACTCGCCCCTTGAAAACGAAATGAACGGTACCGCAACACATGCGCCAATGACGTTGAAGAGGCAAATGCCGATTGGGTGGATAGCTAGACTGTGATCATGTTGTCGGGTTGTGGTGGCTTACGGTCAAACCATTGTGGACTACTTTGCTCGCAATTGCTCTAACCCTCGGCCAGGTTGACGTTTTCCAGAAAGTCATCGCTCTCACGAGTCTGTCCTTTTGTACGTGTGCCAGTAAACATGGCAACATCCGCCTGAGTTGTACCATGCCTCAGCGTCCGTTCGTCGTTTCAGTCACCACAAGGTCCCACACACGCACAAACATACACATGTTCACCATAGTCACACAAACACACACACACACACACACACACACACACAGACAAACAAAGTGACAAGGCATTCTGTGCATTAGACAGATTTTGCTCTCGGACCATGCCGACCGTAACGAGGCCATTATTTCGGCGTGGTTTGGGTCAGAGGCGACCGGTACCAGAAGAGGCCATGGCGGAGGATTAACCTTGTCCACTTTGCGCATGAGCTGACGACAGACTCGGCTCTGCCTGTTTTCTGGTCAGTTGGCAAGGCAAGTGACTTGTTATCCGCGCCATTTCCTTGCCTCTCTGTCGTCCTGTTGACCGCCTACTTCACGGAAGCAATGACACACACACACACATACACGCACACATACACACACGAGTACACACTTGCAGACAGGACAT